ACTGACCAGTTAACCTCTGAATACAGGGACAATGAAATAAGCACCTACATGCCCAGGAGCTACGTGCTGAGATTTTTTGGAACAGCAAAAATTACATTTGCATTCTGATAATTTGCAGTTTTAGATGGCTATTGGTTTGCCAGTAGGAGAAAAATCTGCAGGAGGTGCAGCTGACAAACAGGTGCCCAAAGAAATATATCCTGTTACACAGGACCATGATTCCTACACATAACACAAACTCCCTTTAACAAATCAGCTTACCCACATCATTTATATTTAAGAGGACATGAGTTCTTGAAAAGATGCCAACAAAACCATTTTCCTGTACTGGCACATCCATACTGGTGACATGCAGACCAACACTGCCCTTTGGTTCCCAGGTTCATTAAATCAGGTTCACTCAGGCAGCCACATAGCACCATAAAAGAGCACAGTATTCTACTCGGAAGCAAACAATTGAGAGCAGTGTGTGTCCCCAGACAAGTGAAGCCATGTTTGATCCATCTTTTGACAAGATAAAACTCTCAGCATGTTAAGTATTTCTATTATAGTTGCTGTAAAATTTGGTCAACAGAAAAATGTCACCAGCAGAGACAGAAAAGAGGATACCCTATTGACAAAATGTAATACCCATGTGCTGATGAGACTTGAGCGTCTTTTGAGACTTCCTCGTAGATCAGTCGATCTAAGCGAGAATTTATATTAATACCTGCTAGGCTCAAGTGAAAAGAACAGCACTATACAACACACTGCCATCTTAAGAATAGGTAAGAAGGCGTATTTCTGGCCGAAAAAAAAAGGTTGCCATCAGTATGATGGCTGCTGGACTGCAGGTTTTCACAGTTCTGTGCCACTTTTGGAATGCACTGCCAAAGGAGTCTGCCTAGTGCTTGGTGTCTTTCCCAGGACATTTATCTTTGTACCTTCTCCCACAGCATATGTTCCTTCATTCCCTGCCTCTGCACACCCTAGACTTGCAATTACCAGGGAATGCTGAAAAAAATAAATGTATCCCTTTGCCTTATTGCTAACTGTCTTTTGTGGAGTACCTTTAATGGTATTCAAACTGAAATCATAGAAAGACATGAGGCTTAAGGGAATAGCAAAAATGGGTAAGTAATTACCAGGAATACCTATTCTTCTACAGTGCTGCAACGAAGAAAGACAAAAATCTTGTGTGCTCCTGCCAGTCCCTGTCTGTAAATGCAGCCAAAGGGTATCTGGGACAACGAAAGTCACAGCTCACCAAGCAGACAGATGCTATCACTGCTGACAAGCTGCTGGGACTACTGCAAACCTATATTAAACCAGGGACAGTTTTAACTCCTACAAGCTTCTCATGAAGAGCACACAACCAATTTGTTTTGTAGCTGGACCTCGAGTTGAAAGCAAAAACATATCGCTTTAGACTTGAAAACCCACACATCTAGTTCATAATGGCTCTGACAGAAAAATCATCTGAGTGTCAAAACACTAGATTACCTTCTGTATTTTAATATTTTAGAAATACCGGTTACTTGTTTCTGTTTTGAATGCATGTAGTCCTACTTGCACCGTTTTTATTTTACACCTTCTGCCAACAATTATGTTCATTTTGCATTATGTCTAAGGAGTCTGCTGAAGTAAGCTTTTGGTACCTTAAAGTATCCTGGCTTTTTTTTCAGCACAGCACCCCTTTATTTTGCCTATTACTGTAAGTGAATGCTTTTAAAATAAACCAACTATTTAAAACCAGAAATTCTTTGTTCCTCGCCTGTGGGCAGCCAGCCAAGATTCAAGATTTTGAGAGGGGAAATGACTTGGCAAGGGTTGTGAAGAAAATTAAAGAAAGCAGATACCAATAGGGACAGTGTATTATACTTGCTGAAGCTCCCCTCCTCTCACTGGGTCCCTCTGGGGCTCAAAACATTTCTACACCTCTGTATCAGCTTCTTAAAATAATAATAAAAAAAATAAATAAAACAAACAAATAAACCACAAAACAAACAACTCAGCTTAATTCCATCTGGGACACTTTATTTTTTCTTTATGCTTCATTGCTGGCATTCAAGTCATAGTAGGACCCTTGCTCATAAGAACCACAGTTATGACAGAGCATGAGGTACTTTCTTAGCTTCTCATTTCCCAATAAGATTGCCACAATTCTTTCACTGCAGTTGAACACTAGGCTATGTCAGGTATTCCCTTGCAGAGATCTAACTAGTACCTCTACTCCCATGGGAAATTTCACAGCTGTGTTTGCATCACTCTTTCCAAAGCCCCTGTGACTGCAAAACTTCCGTCTGAGATGACAATGTTTAGATAATTTTAGCTAGTCCTACAGAGAGCCATACCTGCAAGATCATGAACGTAAGCTACTGAGAAGAGAGGGATTTTCACTGAACATTTTAAAATGAACTAAAAGCAAGGGGGGTGTCATTAAAGACAGCTAAAAGGGGAGGGGAGGAGGGAGTCAACTAACAAAGTGATAGCTGCGGCAGTGGAGAGATTGCCAATGCAGAACTGGTCATACATGTAGTACCCACAGTGCAGCATCCACGCAGACACTATTCCTGTACAACAGTAACAAAAAAGGGCTTGTACCCCTGGCAAGGGGAAGAATTTCACTTCCCCGGTTTTATTTCAAGAAACCTGCAGAATTCAAACTGAGTATTGATGTATGCAAGGTACCCACCAAAAGTACATTTCAGTGGTAAAACTACAATACAGACAGGGCCTCTGATTCATGCTCTCTCCCAGGAGGCTGATCCAGTTGAAGATTTTAGAAAAATAACACTGGAGGCAATGTTAAAGACAGGCAAGTTCTTTTCTTCTACATCTTCTATTATTTCTAGATTGACTTGTCAGTTTATCTTAGCAAGGGTTATGACAGACAGTAGCTAACCACAGCATCACAGTGGTATGCATTGCAAAATATTTAGTTGTTAAAACTAAGTAGAAGGTACTCAGAAATTTAACTGGATTATTTATATCATGGTAGCCTCTTATTTCTTCATTACTACTGAAGAGGACCAATTTCAGTGGAGTAAGTTTTCTGTCCTCTTGCCTAGGCCTCTAGTCTAGGCCCTGTTTTACATAGGCAAAGTACCCATTTAGCTCTGAGCAATCAAAAATTAATCTTTTAAATTACAAAGGCAAATAGTAATATAAATAATTTCTTGTAAAGTTGACAATCATAAAAGATAATTTATGAGACTATTAATAATGCTCAGCTGAGGAAATCCAGCCCACTTAATGGTACAAATTTTCAATCACGGTTGAAAGATCTTGTCAAATAACAAATACCATATAAAATACATTTTAGCAGTAAACTTGTACTAGCACAAAACACATTCATTTGAATGACTGAGCTCCACCGATTCTTGACAGCTATTGGAAACAACTTAATGGCTATTTTTGACACTTACTAGTCTTCAGATATGTTGACTACGTGGCTGACAATTTAAACTGACAGCATGCATTTATCCTACTTACAGTTTGGGCAAGATGCAAGAACTAGTGCCCTTAACTATTCCTGGAAAAGGTACAAGTGATCATCAACTCCTGGGGAAATATTTTACTTTTAGCAGCTAAATGATGTCCAATGTCCAGGCTAAATCACAATACGTGACTAGATAATACCAATGCCTCCTTCAAGAAGCTAAAAGCCAAAAGGAATCTCTATAAGCAGGGACTATAAAAGTCATTTTTAAAAAAAAAAAAAAAAAAAAAAAGGAAGCAGCTAAGCAGCTTTATTTCCAACTGTAAAAGCTTTAGGAAAAAGACCTATTTACTAGACCAAAGGAATTCCAGCATAATTGTTTAATCCTCTGGAGTTCTCAAGTACCTGAAATGAATTATTAAACAATTATATATTGTAACACATAAAATAACAAAAAGAGGCCAGAATAATTTAGGCTTTATACACATGGGTATCTCCAGCAGTCAAAATGGAAACAAAGGTAGCAAAAAATTTCCACATTTGATCTAAAACCTCAATCGCTCCTCTTCTAACACTAGAATGAGATGCTACTTACAGTATATTGTTATCACCTTCATATTGTCTCCTTTCTTTGATACTCTCATGAGAGGGAAACAGCAGTTCATGACGTTTGCTCCAAAATAAACACTATGTTACAATTAGAACAAATCACATGCATGCCTAGCTATTATGTCTAGCATGTTGATATTCTGAAGGTTCTGTTAAATAAAGTCACGATTCTTACAGAGCTCATTTTTCACAGTTAAAAACTGCCTTCCCAGATTCACCCAACCGAGGGGGCACAACAACAACAAAAAAAAACACCCCACAGTTGTTAACGTGATCTATGGAAACTCCACATCATGTCATAGGACAGAACATAAATTCTCTCTGCTCTGCTTTGTAGCACACGAACCCAGAAATTACGCTCCATTCTAGCTGTCAGTATCTTTTAGATGACAAGATACATAAAAGAGAATTTACAGCATGCTACCACGTTAGATTAGGAAACTGAAAAGAAAGTTTATTAATAATGAATGATTAATGGAGCTACAGAAACAAGGCAGAGATAATACCACGTTATAAATATTTACAGAAATAAATTTATGGAAGATTAAAAATGTAGTTAAAATATCATCAGATGTTACATATAAAAGAATTTCATTATACTGTAAGAAGGAAGCATTACTACACAACTCCTGCTTTCAGGAAGTTTCATATTTTATAATCTCCTAAAATTAAAACAAATGTTTTGCCCATTAATTGTTTTATGCAAACCGGTCAGTGCCAGAAGATGAGTTCACCTAATATTATTAAGGATCCTGCCTTTGCTTGCATATGGATTAAACCAACATTTTTTTCTTCCTTCTAAGTTCCATCGCATCACTGTAAGCATGCTTTGCCTCTCGGAAAGTTAGGTCCTTACAGTACAAGACATCAATCTTGCAGAGTCACTGCAGTCATAGTTTATGACAGGAAGGCCACTGCAAATGAGGAAAGAACCCAGAAAAACCCTTTGTTTCCTTCACTGCTTCCTCACCGTTCAAGGACACGGCATCACAGCTCTGGCACACGGTTATCCAGCCGAAGGGCACGTTTAGGCACGGCGGGCAGCAGCACACACCCCACCCAAGCCGGTGCGAGGGGCCTGCGATAACACCGCCACGACCCCGCCGGACACCCGCGGGGCTGGCAGAGCAGGGACGAGACCGACCCGTCGCCGCCGGTCCCGGGCGCTCCCGCAGCCCCGGGCGCTGCCGCAGCCCCGCGGCACGACCCGCTGCGGAAGGACGGAGGGCGGCGGGGAGGAGGCGGCAGAACCGTCGGCCGCACCAGCGCCGGCAGCGGGGGGGGGACGCCGAAACACGAGCCCAAGCCAGAAAGGAGATCAACCTGTCCCGAAGCAGGCGGCGAGCCTGAGGGGGGGGTGGGGTGGGGGGGGTGGAGAACAAAGCGGGGCGCCCAGGCGAGGTGAACGCCCGGGTTTACCTGGCAGCCGTAGCCAGGCTGCGGCCGCCCGGCTCCGCGCCCTCCCTCCCCCCGGACTGCCGCACCTCCCCCGCCCCCACCCAGCCGGAGACCCTTCCTCGCCCCCTCCCCGCTTCGGTGTGCCGCCCGCGGCGGCGCCTCGGGGCGGGGGGAGGTTCGGGGCAGCCCCCCGCCAGCCCCACGCTACCTCCGCTCCGGCCCACACCCGTCTGACAGGCGCCGCTCGCTCGCTCGCTCCCTCCGCTTCCGCCCGCCTCGCGGCGCGGCACGACGCGACGCCACGCACCACCTGAAGCCGCGCCCCTTCTGCCCCTGCCCCCCCCCCTCCCTCCCACCCACCCACCCGCGGTCAGGAGGGCGGCAGCGACAACCCCCGCCCGGCCCCACACGGCCTGTGGCGCATGCGCGGACGGGCCCCTGCACGCACACATACGGCCCCCCCCCACCTCTTCCTTCCCTTTGGGAGCGTGAGGGACGGGGCTCGCGCCCCGTAACCGCCGCTGTTCCGGCCCTTGCGGCCGTGAGGCGCCGCCCGGGACGAGGAGGCGCGGCCATAGGGCCTTCCCCCGCAGGGCCGCCGCGGGCGGGGAGCGAGGCAGGCTGTGCGGGGGCCGGGCGGGCCTGGTCGCCCTTCCTGGAAACACCGCCGGGCTGCAAGCAGGAACCCCCTGGGCAGCTGCGGGGCCGCGGATGTCAATTCCTTCTGGCGTCCCCGAGCGCGGGTTGCCTCCAGGAGCACGGAGCAGGAGAGGTACCGTTTCTGCCCTCTAACGGCATAAGTGAATTTTGGCAGCGGCCTCAGGAATGGGTGCTGTCCCTCGGGTCCGGTGCAGGGACAGTTCGCTCTCATCCATTCTCGTTCTCGTAACCCGCAGCTGCACAAGCCGGACTGTTCGTGGCCGGGACAGTATATAAACTCTCACCGTGATAATCACGTAAATAAAATCCATTGTGGGTATAGGACTGTGCTAGCAAATTACCTCAGGCTCTTGCTGCAAGGTGATATTTAAGGGAAGTTGGTATCAGTTAACTAAAGGTGACCATAAGGGCACGTTCAACAGCTGCAGCGTTGCTGGTACTCCGGAGTACCTGTTGTTCACCGTAGCTCAATCCCTTCAGGTCTGTCCCTGCCTAGACAAGCTGAGGTACGGGTTGCAGGTCAGATGTTGCACCTGGGTGTAAGGGAAGGTTCTGTTTGCAGCATTGCATCCTCTGTAAAACAAACAGTTACAGCAAGTGATGTCCTGGCAGCTTGCTGATCCCCACCGCTGCTCCACCTCCCCGTCGGTACCCCCAGACCTGTGCTGCGCTGCAGCCTTCCCTCCCTTTCAGTGTGTGACAGAGGCTACCTGGCTCCCCTCTGGTTCTCAAACCTTCTTTTCTGCATGGATTGGATACAGGAAAATTCAGCTTTTAAATCTGTCACTCCGACAGAAAAAAAAAGGACATTAATACATCAGAGGGGACAGTGGCCTAGATTTAAGTAGATAGACAAAACCATTGGCAGGTGGTATCATGTCAGCCAGTGAATCAGTAGCATAGAAAACTTTTCTAATGTTGACTAGTTTGCAGTCCCTTATTTCAGAGTCTTATGAAACATATTATGGAAATAAATATTTTTTTCTTTTCTTGTTGGTCTGGCAAATAGAGGTGTTTAACTAAGAGTTAATTTGAGAAAATTAGGCAACTGTTAAACTGGATAGAAGGCTGTATTCCCACAGAAAATTCAGAATAAGCTGCATTAAAGGAGTTATATATTTATTTAATTATGCCATCCCATGGGCAAAAGTCTTTTGCTAAATTATACAACATTGAATGAGGACAGGCAAAAAATAAAAACTGAAATACTTGGTAAGTAAGCTTTTGAGTGAACAGATTGACTGTATGTTGTGCAGCATCAATAAAATTGTTGCTAGAAGTATTTTCTAAAGCAGAATCACCTCATACATTTCTGTGGGTATTTCCTCGTCAAGATTTCCTCTTGAAAGGATCAAAACCAGATGGTCTGAAATGGACTTCACATAACAAACATACTGCAGCTATTTACTGCCATTTATTACTGTACTATTTGCTCACTGATTAATCCTTTATTTTCACAGATGTGCAGTGAACAGCTGTAAGGTCTTTGCAAATATAATTTATATGGTATCTAGAGATTATAGGGAGAGAAAGGGAAATCTGTCAATGGTGTAATCACAGGAAGATTTGCTTGTGGAGGTCACAAAATTGTGTTATGAAATCTGTCTCCATTATAAATGTACTCTCTATTGACAGGAACTCTCAACTATTAATAACATTCTTAATTCCTTTTGCTTGAAGGTGTCATGTATTTGGTCATCCTTCATGAACATGCATCTCACAATATTATGTGACATTTTTTCCCCTTATCCAAGCTATGTGGTAAAAACTATATCACAATATCTTGTTTCTCCTCAGTGACATATGAAAATCAAACCTTAACAGTCTTTACGTGATCCTCATATTTGTGAGTAATAATATTCTCAGCATCATTTCAAGGGATAGATAAAAGCCCAGGACTGCAGAAGTAAAAACTTGCTATGCTGCAGTGTTCTGTATTATTTTTCAAAATCCCAAAAAGCAAAAATAGGTTGCTGCTTCAATGTTATCTTTATTCCTTTCCCATGTCATTCACTACCTCTAGACTATACTTCTGACATTAATTTGCATAGCTATTGGTCTGTCCGCTTAAAATATGTATTAAGGATTTATTATCTCATAATATGTTTAAACTGCTTAATGGTAACAGCTAGAGAATGGCACTCTAATGAATATGCTTTGTGATCAGTGTACCTGCTGCCTTCTTACTTAATAGATGAATCCTCTAATCTGCATATGTAGATAAGAATATATGCAACCTTATACTTGCCTTACTTGCACTCCTATTTTTCTCTATTCCTGATTCCTTACCAGTAGTTTATACCCTTTCAGTTTAGGAAATGGGCCTGACCTGGGCCCATCTTTCCCCCCAAAGTACATTTTTTTTTCCGCAAATTGTGAATACTATATACTCACTACTTCATTAAAGCTAAAAGTATATTATAAAAGTATATTGATACTGCTTGAAAAAGCTCAATGAGTCATGCTTGAAGTACATATTATTATATCATGTTAGTGTATCCTTTAGGACGTCTCTAGCTGTTTTCTGTGTTTGAACCAGCTTCCATTTAGCAGAGAGGCTCCCAAAGACACAGATCAACTTTTCAGTCTTACTAACTAATAAATTGTGACATTTGAAATGTAATACCAAATAATTATTGTCTTTATGCTCCAGGAAACTATGGTAAAGTTATTGTAGAGAACAACAAAGGCAGAAGAGTTACGGAAAAAATGGTGACAAGAGCTTGTCATCTTCAATTTAAAATGTAAACTTGATTAGACTTCTTAAAAATAAATATTTGTATCAATAACTGCATTTTTATGTTGGGTTTAATTGCTGGAACAATGCAAACATCTTGAATGTGTGCATTAATATTAGTGTAACTCTCAGAAGTCAGAATCACAATGTTGGCTGTAGCTAGATCTTATATGCGTACATGTTGACAAAAAGCATATTGTTGTCCTATATTCTCCTGACTTTTTCCCTCCCTCCCCTGCTTGTTATTTTTTGTTTGTTTGTTTGTTTGTTTGTTTTTTTAATGTAACCATTATGTATTTTCAATGGGTTCTTCATATTGTGTTTTTTCAGTGACCCATCTTATGGAGGAAGACTGATAAGCATTTTCATCTCAGAATTTAAGCATGCCCTTCATGCTCATTCCCTTTTGTTCCTTGAGTTAGATGATGGGGAACATCAACCAGGATCAGAATCAGATTACACCAGAACTGTATGTGATTTTGCAGTAGAGTAAGTGCTTTATCAGTAAAGTTACACTCGAAAAGGCAGATGAGCAAATCTATCCACTGCAACCGAATGGAGTAGAGCTGGTATAAAAGATGAAATGGATTCAGAATGGCTTTTGGAAAGTGAGACATCAGAAGAGGTTGAAACTCAGGCCAGCCTCCTAGGAATGTAAATTTCATTGTAATTAAATGAGAACTGGCTAAAGACTTGACTAAAACTTTTGAAGTAAGTGACATGAAAGAAACTTTCAGCCAAAATAAAATATTTTGCAAACCTGGAGGAGAACAAGGAAGATCTTTCCCCGATACTCCCTTCCTTACCATTGTGAGCTAATTTACTCTTTAATTGGTTATTTATTTCTGAATCACCAAGCACAAAGAAGAAGGGCTGGCATGTACATTTCCAGCCTTCCATTTACAACAGAAGCAAGAAATAATACACATCATTTATGGCCCAGCTAGGAAGCAACACAAACCTTTTCCATAAAGATGAGCGTATGTCAGAGCTTTGTTAGAACCTCGAGCTGTGGGTTGAGCTGTCTCTGGAGGAGCAGCGTTAATGTGGCCTCTCCGCAGGGACACCTTGCCAAGGGGGCCGTGCTACCACAGCGGCTGTTGGAAACCCAACGTGATGGGCTGTGCAAGAAGCAACCAGTGCTGCGGATGTGCCCGTTGTCTAAAGCCCCGGGAGCGTGCTTCATGTAGCAAAGGCATTTGATTTCTAGGGAACCATAGGGAGCCTGTGACTCACCCTCCGAGCACCTCATTCCTTTTGGGCAGTAGTCAAGTTACATGGGCACTCAGGCTGGTCATTCCCTGGTGACAACCACGGTGAACTGAAGATAACCAGCCTCAGTTGGAGCAGGAACTTGGACAAAGCAGCTTTTCAATCACAAAGAGAAGTTCCTGGTCCTGAAGAAGTACGAGGAAGACGCAGAGCAGGGGCGGAAGCTGTGGCTGAGCTTTCTGCTACTGCTACCAGCAAGACGGTGGGAAAGGTAGGAGAATGGTGCTTCTGGTGGGCAATCTTCAGTTCCAGCTGCTGCCCACTTGTCTTCTCCT